ACTTTGCCTTTCAGAGGCTTTCAGTTTTAGTATACAGAAAATTTGAGAAATTTCTGTCTGAAGTCAATGAAGAATATGCATTTTCTGAGCAGTGAGAATTAGCCAGAATTGCAAGATCATAATGACACTATTTAGCTTTGTTTCAATTCCACTTAACCAACTCCCAAATGAAAATTAGCCTTATTTTACTATTTAACAAATATATCCTAAGGAAATAATTGAAATAGATTACTTTTTTTGCATTTATTATGACAGAAGAATTTAAATTTGAAATGCAGTAGAATGAAACTTTTTAATAATATTTGCAGATATTAATAAGTGAATGCTTTCAAAATCTACTGAATTAAGCTTACTCTTCAAAAATTACCAAATTGAAGTAGATGCTCAAATGGAGCTATATACAAAAGTACAGCTTATAATGACGTATGAGAAATTGAAGCAGATAGAAAGGGTACCCTGTTTAACCATTATTCTTCATTACTAGGGGCTAACATGTCTAAATTATAACCTCCATCTGTCTCTTCTCCCCTAATCAGTTCCTTCTTTCCTTCCTCCTGCCCTCCCTCATTCCCTTCCTTTCTAATTCTCTTCCTCTCTCCCCTTTCTTTTGGGAATATTATTGAAAAGAATCTGGGTGCCCAGCAGGGCACTTAGCTAGAAAATGTAAACAAAGTTTCTCCCATCCCAGGGAGATGGGAGATTTAGAGTTTCTAGTAATGCATTGTGACACTTGAAGTACATTCAGCTGTTCTTAAAAAAAATCAAAGAAGGGCTTCCCTGGTGGCGCAGTGGTTAAGAGTCCGCCTGCCGATGGAGGGGACATGGGTTTGTGCCCCGGTCTGGGAAGATCCCACATGCTGTGGAGTGGCTGGGCCCGTGAGCCATGGCCGCTGGGCCTGCACGTCCGGAGCCTGGGGTCTGCAGCGGGAGAGACCACAGCAGTGAGAGGCCTGCGTACCGCAAAAAAAAAAAAAAAAAAAAATCAAAATACTCTTTTTTAAAGACATGAATGCTATTCTTTATTTTCCAATAATGCCTAATAGGACTTGATGAGTTCTATTCTTATTTAGCATATGCATACCTGTAATGACAAATTATATTGAAAAACAGAGAGGAATCATTATATTAGGGAATTAAAGCTACAGCTATAGTTTGATGATAAAAATAAAATTATTTTCTTGCTTAAATAGCACATTTTAATCTTCATTATGGAAATCAGTATGAGAAAACCTTGACTAGAGTTCTGACTTTCCCTTCTTTCCATTTTTTTGATCCTAGGTAATGGTATCCATCTCTCATAGCAAAACTCAAGATTGTAGGTGATATTAAATTATGAAACACCCAACGTCCCAGTACTGAATCGAATTAGTTTCTCAATTTTCATTTGTAAAATGCCTCCCTAATCTTTCTTCTCATCAGCCCCTGAGACTATCAACATCTCTCACTTAGTTTATTGTCAACACTTTTTAGTTGGCTCCTGTGCTCTCTATTCTCTTCTGTAATCAGTCCATCTTCCATACTGCTAGTTTTATTTCTAAAGTGAAGATTAAATTATGTAGTAACTTAGCTTAAAAACATCCAACAACTTTCAGATGTCTGGATCTAGTCTAAATTTCTTAGTGTGATAGCTTAGGTCCTTTATATTCTCATCCCAGCTACATTTACCACCTGGTTGTTTATATTCATTATTTTAAACATAGGCAGTATAACAGTGTTCTAAATTGTCATGCTCTTGGATGCCATTGTGCCTTTGGATATTTCTATTTCTTTTTTTTTGCAATAGCCTTCCAAAAAGGCTTCATCCACACTTCATCCTAAAGAAGACTCGATAATGCCACGCTTTGAAATTCAGTCCAAATGTTTATATACTTCAACCCTATGGTGAAGGTTTCTTCACATCAGCACTCCTGTCACCCACACCCCTAAGAGAGCACTGATGGCTTTATATTTCAAGTTTCTGTCTCTAAGCACGTGTTCGACAAAAGAAGTTTAGCTATGCCAAATCACTATCCTCACTTTTATTCTCTGCACAAAATTTTTCAAGGTCTTGCATTCCTTAACTCAAACTCTACCAATTAAAAAATAAAATACTTTAGTCTCAGGAGGAATATGGTAGTAGTGTATTTTGTTGGAAGCTGTGTTATTTACCATTAATAAATAATTCATTAACTATATAACCAATTAAATTAGGATCCAGCCTCAATGGGCATTGAATTCTTATAGTGGAAATGGAATCACCAGATAATAAAAAAAAGAATAAGAGTTTTCCATCTAGTTACAAATGTGTTTTGAAAAAAAGTTATTTGGAAAACTATGTTATTTGAGAATAAAAATCTTAAGAACTTGAATCCTTTATTGTATGCTTATTTTAAATCCCATCTCATTTATTTTAATAATTAGCATTTTATTCTTATCTTGGTAGTTTAGGTACTCAAGTTATATTGTCTCTGATTAGTTTTCCTTTAAGTCTAGTCAAGGAATAGAAATAGCACAGATCCTGGGAGGGTTGCAGGGACACTGAGAAATGAAGACTGAGAGGAGGACGTAGAGCATGAAAAGGAGATCATGAATTCAGATAAATGGTAATACGGCTACCCCACTAGACTCTTCTTTGCTGCTCCTGAGACAAGCTGCCCTGGGTCTGGAAGCTAGAGAGGGAACCATACTAGAGAGCACAGGACATAAGAAGCCTCTTTACAGAGATAGCCAAAACTTTTTACTTAACAAAAGACTTCATGGTATAAATATTTGATGGAATCTTTCTTTTTTATAAAACTAGGAGGGAAGAGTTAAAATGTTCTCATAGTATTTGGTTGAAATATGTATCTAATCTAATGCTTAGATATTCACTATCATTATGAATTTGTTCAGATAAGTTAACAAACAGGACAGTCAATAAATTCAAACTTAAAGTGTAGAAAATTTCAAAGATTATGTAGTAAGAACTGATGTTTGTTTCACAGAATCTGATAAGATTATTGCTAGAAGGGAGTTTAGACATAAATCAAGTGCCACTTCTTCATTTTACACAGAATATATTAGGAGACAGTTCTGGAATCAATATATACATACTGAAAGTCACATAGTCAATTAGCTGAGGAGCCAGTACTTGAATTTAGATCCCATTTATTATCTGCTTGCATTTCCCCACATTGGTCTATTTTCATTAGATATGTGACGAATTATTCTCCCTTAAACTCTTGCAAAACATGTTCCCCAACTTCCTTACCCCTTTCTTCCCAAGATCTGTCTTGGATTTGGTTCCTTGACCAGCAGGCTTCCCTTCTAATCTTTCAAGTTAAACTTTTGTAGTATCCTCCTCCAGTGCCTTATAAATAAATTTCCAAGCAAGTTTATGCTCTAGAACATGAAGCCTGATGACTTAAATCACACATAGAGACTTTAAAAGCAATTTACGTAGTATTAATATTTTTAGGCTAGTTGCAAATATGTCCTTTCAAGAGGAAATAGCTCCATATTTTCAAACTTACTGGCAATTAGACAGTTGTTTTTATCATTTTTGCTTTTCAGTTTGAAAAATACAACCCCTGACCTTTGTGTCTGCAATAAGAGAGGGAAGAGATGTAGGGACTTTGGCTGACAAAGATAGTTCATGAATTCTCAATTAGCCTCTCTCCAAAGGACGGTTGCATACTTAGTTATGCTTTTATAAGTTATAAAACCACGTAAAAAGATTTACTTTCAAAACCCATCATCTCTATTTGTACGGATTAATACACTAATGGTCCTTCTGGAACATACTGTGCCCCAACCATATTTGAAAATCTTCCATAAATAACTAAAAGATTATCCTTGGTAGAACAAATTTAAACTTACTTTAACTTATTGTTAGAATTAGTGATATTTTATTTCAGAAGACCAAAAATTATATATACATCAATTTAAATATTAATTGAAGTATATAAACAATGCACATTCTCGGTTATAATCTGAGAAATACATACATTTAGATTGCCATTAGATGTGCAATTCACATATTGAATTGTAGGGATAATTCTTTTTCTTTTAATTTTAGAGATGGATAAGATAAGATTCAGTGTGTTACACATTATTAAATTCTCATTGACTCTCAGGAACAAAATGCTGATGCTTATGTGAAAACACTGCTTGCAGAGACAACACACTTATTTAAACTAAAGCAAACACGAGCATTTAAATGCAAAACATTCAATAACAGCATTTAATTCAAGAGAAGAGACTATAAATCTTCGAAGATTATACATCAAATAATGATTGAGAATATATATATTGTTTAAATGGCAGATTAACTTTCGATTTTTTAGGAAAAATATTCTCGTTTCATCCCTCAAAGAATATAAGATTTTGTAATTTAGTAGTTGAGTAAAAAATAATATGTGAATTATGGATAAAATAATATTTTGATGGTGAACTTTTATTAAATGTTTATAGAATTGCAATTTATAGTACCATATATTTATGAGATTAGTGTTAATATTGCCCTTCTACCAGTTTAATGTCTTGTCCATAATTTCAGCCCTAGAGAGTAAATTAATTTATTCCTTAAGTAATTGATGCCAATGTACTTATTTGAAATACCTTTTCTAGGGAATTTTACACTTTCAGAATGTATGACGGGCTATATATGATTTTGAAGAACAAATCTATCAGTTTTACATTTTAAACTATTTCCTCTATTTTACTAATATTGTTTGTTAGAAATTGATTTTTTAAATGTTTTAACCCTCAGGTACCTTGACCATACATAAAATGTGCCTGGAGTAGCCCTAGCATAGAGCTTCTTTTCCCTCGCATATAATTTAGTTTAGCTTTTATTTCAGCTTTATGATTTATTATTATCATTAGGAGTAGTAGTAATAGTAGAAGTAGTAAAATAAGCCAAAAAGTGCTTTTTGTTTTGTTTCTGTTGTTGTTGTTTCTGCGATCAGAAAAATTTAATAAGGTGGGGTTGAGGCAAATGTTGGGTTGGGGAGGCAACCACCTGCATGGAAGGACCAGCCTCACAGCACGGATCCAGCATGACCTCCGCCGCCTCCCTCTTCGTAGTCCCACACCTGGAACCACCAGGCATTTGCTGTCCCCTGGATCATGGCTGAAAGCCCTTGGCCAGACTGCAGGTGGAACAGGCACAGGATTTGTTTATTGAGGGCCACACTCCGACCCAGCTCATAGCCTACACAAAAATATGGTTGCCATGACCATGTCTGCCTGTTGCAGCCAGGCCAGGTCCTGCTCATAAATGAGCCTGTCACCCCCAGCAGCCTCATAGATTTCTAACTGGTGCTTTCTGCTCTTACCATGGTCTCATCTATTGGTGTGTGTGATAAATGTGCAGAAAATATAATTCTCAGTTTAACATGTGGCTGAATGCCAATCAATAGATGGTTTGGGGACCATTGTAAAGCAATTATACCTCAATAAAGATGTTAAAAAAAAAAAAAAAAAAAAAAAAAAAAAAAAAAAGATGGTTTGGGGAGTTCCCCAGTGGTCTAGTTGTTAGGATTTGGCACTTTCACTGCCGTGGCCCTGGTTCAAACCCTGGTTGGGGAACTGAGATCCTGGAAGCTGTGGGGCCAAAACTGAAAAAAGAAAAAAAAAAAAAAAGATGGTTTGTCTTTTCTCCATCCTTTCCAAATTCAAGGTAACTTCCACCATTCTTTCAAGGATAGCATGTAGGTCCTTGACGAAGTTTGCTGGGACTCAAGTAGCAGAGAGAGCTAAGTCCTCCAGGACTCTAGTATGATAGAGAAGGATTCATTGTTTTGCTCTTGCCAGCTTCTTGATATGTTAATCAATAATACCTTAACATGCTTTGAGCCATGAGATTCATGCTAGGCCACCAGTCAGCAGGGTTGTGGGAAATAATAGTGTATTTGCATGTGAAACGTGTAAGGGGAATTGAAGCTAAGCAGTTCTGCCATAGAGCATACAGGGAACTCCTTGAATATTCATCCTACATGTGGTATCATTCTAAATTCTTATCATACTTCCTGGATTGCAGAAGTGGCTCAATAAATATAACTGCATTCCTCCATTTTCATTGTCTTCACACCTTAGATTACAGATTACCAAATTCCATAATAGTATCATTTAACAAATACTTATAATTCATTTTGTGCCAGGCACAAAAATGAATAAACATGGCCCCTGTCCTTAAGGAGCTACAATCTAACTGTAGATTCTAATCCTGAAAAATAATTATAATGTAGGGCATTAAGTGTTAACATGGAAATAGACCAATGTGATATGTGAGAACTGATATGGGGCATATCATCTAATTTCATGTTTCAAGGTAGTCATTCTGGATGAAATAACAAGAAGTCTAAAGAATGTGTAACATTTGGCTACTGAATGTTGGAAAGAAAGTTAGTTTAAAGGAAATAGCATAAGGTATAAATATCTTGCTATATTACAAGCCATGTGATATTACTAGGAAATAAAGTAAGAATCAAGCAATAATGGGCAATGGAGTTAAAGAAAAAAATCAGAAGGCAAATAATAAGTAGTCTTCATTTTATACTAATTTTTAGCACCATATACGATGTATGTATATTGGCACACTGTCACCTATTGGTCAAAACAAGTCTCAGTGATAGACAAGCCATGGCTCTGTGGGTGCAAAGAGGGATCCACCTCTTGAAGAGAGGGCTGCAAAGGTTTGTGGCCATTACTAAAGTCAACCACAAGCAGTGAGTGACATGATCAGAATCATATTTTAGTTTGTCTTCAACAGCCTCAGGTACAGGTTAGAATAATGGTGTCTCCTTATCTACTAAATCAGAATCTCTAAAGATAGAATCAAGGAATACGTATTTTGAAAAAAGTTACCCAAGCATATTTGATGCGTAGTCTTGGTTGAGAAATACTCTCCTAAATAGATTACTCTGATGGCAATACATTTGAGCCGTGTGTTTTTATTTTATTTTTAAAATGAAAAAAATCAACTCCTCTTAGGCCAACAAAAGGACACATTGGCCAAGTTTTGAGGTATATTATGTAACCCAAGGATGATCTGAAAAACTAAGCCTTGTGAAGTATGTAAATTAAGATATTTGTGAAGAACTCAACTGTGAGAGTTAATGGATATGACTTCCTAATACACTGTCATTAAAATGATTAAGGTACTAAGTCTCTACATTCAACATTTAAAATGCTTTGGAAAGAGAATCTGATAGGCCAGTGTTGTCTTGTGTCCACTGTTGGACCAATCAGAGGCAGGGCCATTGAGCAGATACATGGCTCCTCAGCATCCGGCCCTGCCAGTGAGGGAGGTGGTTTTCAGAATAAAATATCTGGTCAAACAATCCTAACGTTGTCCATTGCACCATGGTTCAAAGAATGGGATTAGGTAGATATTTTAGGGAACTGCTTCAATAATTCAGTTATAAGATGATAAAGTACTAACCTGTGATATGGTGAGGAGCTAGGCAGTCTGGAAACCAAATGTAACTTTTAATAATATTGAAGTTTTTTTAAAACTATTCTGAAGTACAGAATCATAATATACAAAGTCAGGTAATCAATTGATATTCATAAAATTGACTTTAGGGATTGGAGTCCTTATCAAATATATGATATAATAATGTATTGATGTCATACATTCCAGGAATGTTGCAATTAGAAAGTAGAAAAACAATTCAACAAAACAGAAAGTGTTATCATTTCAAGGCAACTTTATAGTTCATTTTTCAATTCTTTAGCAGATTACATAGTATGCACATATTTGGATTTAATAAATATCAAATAAGTGAGCAAAATGATATTACACATTTAAATATAAAATGTAACCAAATAAGTACAAACTTTCCTGAAATGAGCTGTATTAAGTAGGTTTCTGAGGAGGGTAGGAAGTCTGAAATGATTCAGATTTAGGAAAAGAATTTGGATAATATACATATATATATCTTCTATCACATAATAAAAGTATTTTGAATTGTAGTTGATGTTGAAGAAACAAATCAGCATGAGACCTCTAGAACATTGCTAACTGTGAATATATTTTAAAGCAGTGAAATTACAGTTTAATAATTCCCCATAGGTCCATATGGAGGTACTAAATTATGAAGTTCCTTGGAAAGGTTGCAAAGCTTAAGACAAGAATATTTTACTTTGACAATTTTTGTATTTGCATATTTGATGGCCATACATGAGTGGGGGGGGCGAAAGCGGTCACTTTTGGTATTTCAGAGCTGTCGAGAACAAACTATATAGAGGTCCATAAAAAGAGAAAGGAGAACTATAGCACCTTGATGTACTGACTTTCATTTTGAAAGATCACAAAGCTTTTTACAGATTTAACAACCTGACATACAGAGATCACTTCAACCTCTGCTGAAACACACTCAGCCTAGGGGTGAAACTCACCTGTTATTAAACTGCCTCTGGCAGCACTGCAGAACAGAAAATAAAAGAGAAGGTCAAACCTCATTAAAACTTCTAGAAGTTATCACAGGACTAATGAATCCTGGGGAAGAATTGGTCCCAACCAAAGTGAATCTGCATTATTTGAGAGAGGAGAAGGTATTGAAAAAAAAAAAAATCATTCCATTCTCTCAGTAACAAGGAAGTAGATATACAGGAACCAGGCCAGTAAAATGCAAATGTCCATCCCTTGAGTTATTGCATCTGGACCTCCTTCTTTCCCAAGGCAAATGTTAGCTATTTGGAATGGGGGGAAGGTTGATAAAGGGGATTATTCTATCAGAAAAATAGGAAATTACACAAAAAATAATTTTGCTATATTGCAACATGAATCTGAAAGAGTTTATCATCACCAGATTTAACCACTAGTAAGAAAGCACTGTTCAGATGGCTTTACATGATAAAAATCTTGGGAATTCCTTGGTGGTCCAGTGGTTAGGAATCCATGCTTCCACTGCAGGAGGCACGGATTGATCCCTGGCCAGGGAACTAAGATCCCACATGCTGCGCAGCGTGGCAAAAACAACAACAAAAAAAAACTTCATGTAACACATAAGCTCCATAAGAAATGGTCACTAAAAACACTTTTTGTTTCTTTAAATCCTACTTGTCAGACTGAATAGGACTGCAGCACCACATAGGGGACAAAATAAAGCTAAATACTACTAACTGATTAATAGGAGGTAAGAATTACACCTTTCCAATTTCTTAGTTCATATGCCTCATCACAGGATTTTTTTCTAACATCTAAAAATTCAGAAATGATCTGTGACGAGAATGCTCTTGAGTGTTTATTTTGCTGATACGAATATTGCCTATTCAACTTAGTTGAGAGAAAACTGTCCTTTTTAGGAAATACAAACATATGCACCTCATAACTATAGTAATCCACAAGAAGAGAGGAAATAAAGATACATTAGTTGAGAGTAACCCATGACTAGATTACTTATAAGTGGTCAGACTGAAAATTCAGTTCACCTCACTCTAGGGGAGATTTGCATGAGACGCCCTAATGAGGAGTTGGTAATGGCTGCTTGCCAAGAAATCCATCCACTGGTCTTTTTCAGAGTCTATCACTCACCTCATTAGGTCAGTGACAAATGGAGCCAAGACTCTCATCTTCTTTTCCCACAGCCTTCTGACCCATTGAAGAGCTAATAGTGAAGAACACTAACTGATTTGATGGTAACACATTTCAAACTAGGTATGATCAACTGTGGAAGAGTTTGAAGGCCCAAGTCTCTGGTTTGTCTTTATATCCAAAAAAAGTAAAATAAAAAGTTAAAAAATAAAACATATCAAATGTTTTCTGGAAAAATTCCCAATAAGATATTTTTAGTTTTTTTGGAGGCCATCTGTTTTCTGATCAGAATTTAGCTACTGATACCCTGATGGACTTAAAAATAGTTTCTTCTCAGATATATACCCAGAAGTAGAATTATTGGTTCATATGGTAGTTCTGTTTTTCATTTTTTGAGAAACTTCCATACTGTTTTCCACAGCGGCTGCACCAATTTACATTTCCACTAATAGTGTATGAGGGTTCCCTTTTCTCCACATCCTTGCCAACATTTGTTATTTGTGATCTTTTTGATCATAGTCATTCTGACAGGTGTGAGGTGCTAATTTGAAAAGATACAGGCACTCCAGTGTTCATAGTAGCACAATTTACAATTGCCAAGATATGGAAGCAACCTAAGTGTCCATCAACAGACGAATGGATAAACGTGTGGTATATATATACAATGGAATATTACTCAGCCATAAGAAAGAATGAAATTTTGCATTTTGCAACAACATGGATGGACTTGGAGGGCATTATGCTAAGTGAAATGTCAGATAGAAAAAGACAAATACTGTATGATATCACTTAAATGTGGAATCTAAAAAATACAACAAACTAGTGAATATAACAAAAAGAAGCAGACTCACAGATATAGGGAACAAACTAGTGGTTATCAGTGGGGAGATGGAAGGGGGAGGGGCAATATAGGGGTAGTGGATTAAGAGGTACATACTATTAGGTATAAAATAAGCTATAAGGACATATTGCACAAACAGGGAATATAGCCAATACTTTATAACAACTATAAATGGAGTATAACTTTTAAAAATTGTGAATCTCTATA